TTCTGGTCCCTAAAAAGCTGTTTCTGGCACCTAATTGCTGATCAGCCCCAAAATGCTTATTCGACCCTAATATCTGAATCTGGCACCTAATTGCTTCCACACAGCCTAAAGTTGCCAGATCGTCTAGTTGAACTCCGTATTTGCTGTTTGCTGATTCAGCACCAAAACCAAAACATCCAGCACCTATTTTATTCCACGTTTGCCTACCTAATTCGCGTAATCTTCCTGATTTTATGTATCCTAACAACATGAACGTTGCATTCGGTGATGTCAAGTGCAATTTTCGCCAGTGGAGATAATGATTAATGCCATTTCTAGCCAAAAGAGAATCACTAGCCAGCTATGGTGCAGCATAGCAAGACGCTCCTATACCAGCCCGCTATTTAGAGACTAGAGATTATTGCACCCTCAGCCATTTTAACCTGAAAAGTTTGGATCCGTCACTTCCAGCCAGGCTCTCAGGTCATATACCTACTGGAGTAAAGCAAAATGTCAACTCTGAACAGACATGCCACGCAACCAGCCCTCTTTTCAATATTATTAGCTTTCTGCAATCATCGTCTGACTCCATCTCGATCAAACGCAGCATCCGGTTTCTACAGGGGCGTTTGACTGACCGGCCACACAATAACCAAAAACAAAATCAAAGCTTCATGCATGCACATATGACATAAGTAAGAAACGGATGAAAAAGGCACAACCACGGCACAACTCTGCGCGGCAAACAACGGACAATGTCCCACGCAAGATCCCGCGTTTCTTCAGCGGCCTTGAACGGAATGAAAACATTACATTTCTTTTTTTGGAGTTATTTGATGACGTCAAAAATACAATACCCGTTTTAATGGTCAAAATCGAGACAATTACTCACAAAAATGTTTCCGTTTAAGCATTACAAATAAATACTTTTAAATATTTAAATGACATTGTTTTTTTCAAACAAATCAATATTATTTGCTTACTTAAACGTCATATACAATGCTGAGATCACTACGGGGCTGTCTTAGAGTGTAGCTGCACTGGCAACCTTTAGGCTAGACCAGGGGTCATTATACCAGAACAACATGATTCTACCAGCCAGTAGTTCATTTTTCTACTAGATTGGTGCTACGCTCAGCATTTAGGTGCCAGATTCAGAAAAAAAGAGTAAGGCGTACCGATGAATAGGTGCCAGAAACAGCTACTTAAGGTCATTTTCCATCATTGGTGCTGGTATCCACCAAATAGGTGCTGAGGACCAATTTTGGGGCGAGTCAGCTTTTAGGTGCCAGAAATAGCTTTTCTGGGACGCAATTAAATGGCGTCCATTATCTTTTGTCAAGTTTTTTTTTTGTGTGCAACTTTTGCGGCATTCACAAATGTCTCAGTTCGTCATTGAAACTTTTTCGCGATTTATCTAAAGATTCTCGGCACTTCTTGGGATGTTTCAATAACTTCTCAAGCAGTTACGCCTCTGCAAATTAGCGCTACGTTTTCGTTACAACTTATGTAGCATATGCACAAAGGTTTCTGTGACATAAAGTAGGCATAAAGGCATAAAGAAGCATTCCTACCTATTAAGTTTGACGACTTCTTGCACTAAACTGTGATTTTTTTATTTAGAGACTTTCAATAAAGTCGCTACTTTTCTTTGAAATAAGTCCCTACAAAATCCGAACCGAACATACCACAGCACAATAAAAACAATACAAAGTGGATGAAGCTGTGTTATATAATAAATTATCATAAAGAGGGTTGTGATTTATATCAAATACATCCTGTAGGTGAAATAGAAAGGACGTTTTTATTTTAAGGGTGCAAGCGCCTTCTTCATCTTGCTTTGTACGTTCAATTGAAGTTCCTGCCTAAGTTCTGATGTGTGAACTGTGGGGTGCAATTCAGTCAAATGCAGTGTTGTACCTATTCATTTCCTTTTATGTGAAATCGCATGCTTGTTAAAATGTCAATTTGTTATGTTCAATGTGACCATGAGGCTTGACTTAAATGCCTTGTTTGTTTCAGGCGCAATGTCACAGTCACGGCTGGGGACTGTTCTGGTCGGAGGTGGCAGCGGGTTCATTGGCACCTCGCTGACTGCTCAGCTCAGGAAGAGAGGCTATGATGTAATGATTGTCTCCAGGAAGCCTGGCCCTTACAGGATGACTTGGGTGAGTGAGGGCAGGTGCACCGACCTGAGCTGCCAAAAGGTCAAAGTGGAGTGTGCTCTGAGGGACCTGAATGGGTTGTAGTCTCTGACATTGGAATGGGTCTTTGGTGACACACAGTCAGTGAGTGTGGAAGAGAAGTGTTTAGAGGAGTGGTGGAACTCATAATGTGTTGGGGTGGATGACAAATTATGCATGAAGAAACTTTCTTACCCATCATAACCCACAGAGCGAGCTGAGCCAGTCGGGCCTGCCCAAGAACACCACGGCCGTGGTAGGTCTGAGTGGTCAGAACGTGCTCGACCCACTGCGCCGCTGGACGCCCGGCTTCCGACAGAACGTGTGGGCGTCGCGCGTCAACTCGACCCGCTCGCTCGCGGAGGTGATCAGCGCGGCGCCGGTCAAACCGAACGTGTTCGTCTCCATCTCCGGCGTAGGTCAGTTGGACGAGGGATGGGATGGGGAGAGACGGTAGCTGAGATCGTGTTTGCACTGCCGATTACGGGGTGGCTGTTTTTAAGTGGTCTTGTGGATAGATGCACAATTTATCGCGAAATAGTGTCGTATTTTTAGTTGCAAGCTTGTAAGTGATTTTATCCGACATTGAACGTCTTGCTGTTTCTCAACGACATTTTCCATGATTCATGAATGCCAAAGACGTGTGCTTTATGAATCTTGGAAAGAATCTTTATGAATGCATCTACGCGTCGTCCCGACGTTTCAGGTTTTTACGAGCCGAGCGAGACTGCCGAGTACACGGAGGAGAGCGCAGGGGGAGAGGCCGACTACATGGGCCGGCTCTGCACGGCCTGGGAGGAGGCTGCCCGAGGCGTGGAGGACGCCGGCGTGCGTAGCGTCATCATCCGATCAGGTCAGTCAGACTCGGGGAGGCGGAGTTCGTAGGTCTACCCGGTTAGATCGACGCAGGCGTGAGACGAGTCGCGTGGTCAGAATCGTTTAGGTTGGATTATTCTATATCAGGTATGCTTAGAAAATGATTGATTCGGTGCCAAGTCCGTAAGTTGTGAAAGCAAATTGCGTCCCTTTTAATTACCGTCTTATCCCATTTTACCAACCGTTCCCCGGTTTTCGCTAGGCGTTGTGCTAGGCCGGCACGGCGGAATGATCCAGCAGATCTTCATGCCGTTCTACTTGGGTCTCGGCGGGCCGATCGGATCCGGGCGGCAGTTCTTCCCCTGGATCCATATCGACGACATCGTCAGTCTGTTCATCTTCGCCATCGAGAACCCCGAGGTCAGATCGCGGAGAATGGAGGTGATACATTTTTAACTGCTAAATGCATCACATTCAAATTGCTGGAGTAGCAGCAGAGATGAAAATGGTTATGTCATCTTTTGGATTGGACTATTTCACCGTATGAACGTTCTAGAGCGTTGCAGTGCGATGCTATGCGTATGCAGTATTTGCATTTGAGTTCCTAAACTTAATTTTAGTCACGTATTCGCGATCGTATCCACAGCATGCACGTTGCATGCCCGTGTATTTGTGACCAATGACCATTCTACCCCGTCCCAATCCCCTTTTTCTGCCCGCCACCTTCCCCGCTAACTGTAGTTCCCTCACCCACCCCCAGGTGTCTGACGTTCTTAACGGCGTGGCTCCACAGCCGGTAACAAACGGCGAGTTCTCAGCGGCGCTGGCGGGCGCGCTGCACCGTCCAGCCGTGATCCCCCTACCGGCCGCCGCCGTGCGGCTCGCCTTTGGTGAGACGCGCGCGAGGATGATGGTAGAGGGCCAGCGCGTGCTGCCTCGCCGGCCGCTCCAGCTGGGCTTCCAGTACCGGTACCCAGATATCGAGTCGGCGTGTCGGGAGGTGGCCAGGCTGAGGTATACCCCGGTTAAACCGTACTAGGAGGGCACGCTAAGGTTTACGCTCCCGTTTAACTTCTGTGTGTAAAGCGGGAGGGAGGTGGAGTACTTGGCTGTGGCGTGGCTGAGTGAAGGTGTGTGGTGTGTGGTGTGTACGCTGTGGGTTAGGTGTGTGCGAGAGAGGGGTACAACATGAGATGCTGTAAATACTAACGACCGTTTTATCTTTCTCGATAACCTGCATTTTCCGAGACATTTGCTGATCAGGATACCAATCTTGTTCTTCAATCTCAAAACGGTTTTGGTTCATTTGTTCGCACAATATTTCCCAATCTTGCCGTTTCGAAGCTCGGTCGATTGAATGTTGGAAATATGACGTGTCGATATACCTCATAGACATTCGAAATCTACCTATAACATAGACGGAGAGCTTGTATCTTCGACTGGTGCTGATGATACTGTGCTAAAAAACTATTGAAGCGCCGAATCTGACGAGTCCGTATAACCGTTTTAGAAGGATTGTTTCTCGTTGGGTCTCTGGTTAGTCCGCTCAGACTCACATTTTCGTGTGGATGGATGTTGGGCTGCTTGATGCTGTGTTCCCGTAACTTCGTTGCCTACCCACCGGAGTGTTTTATTATCCCAGATTGGGATATTTTTCCGTTAGCAAGGCACGATTTTGTGACCGTATGATAGTTCAACGATAAGCAGCCAAGGACTAATTTATTGCTTTACGCAGTAAGGGATACGCCAAAAGATAGGTACTCGAAGAATGATGGTGTGTAATTTATAACGTAATTTTTCCCGACCCTTCCATGCCCGTACGGCGTACCAATACCAAGGCTATGGCCGACTAGTGCGTACTTTGTGAGTGTGAACTGGTGGCCGTCCGTTTTTTGCAATAGTGCGTGAATTGAATTGTGCATAGAACGATCTGTTGCCGAATTGTTGTTGTTTTTAGCAGACAAGTCTGTACATTGGATTGTCGACGTGACTATGATCTGGACTCAATACAACACACTCAAACACGTGTGGCAATGTTTGTTTATTTTACATGTTCATGCATTTATCCAACTTATACCGATGGTAGTCTCGCAAAGTGAAGTGGCAGTGGATCGAACGCTAATGGTTTATTACGATATGACATGACTAGAAAAACTCGTTTACACTCAAGATCCAATCCTCGCACTCCGTCAATCTACTGTCATTTTGCTATGATTCTACCCTCATGAGCGTCTTGTCTATCCACCGTCCACTCCGCTCAGAAGTTCAGCGCGTCCAGTTCCCTACTAACCGGCAGCACCATCTCCAGCGTCTCCTCACTGGGGTGCCAGACCGCTCGAGCGGCCGTCTCGCGTACCGGATGCGGCAGGAAGAGGCTGAGCCTCCAGACTGCGCCTCGAACATCCAGATGGCGCTGCTGGACGTCCACCACGGCCGAGGTGGCCGTCTCGCCGGGGAGTTTGACGCGGACTACCAGTAGGCCGCAGCTGGCCGTCGCCGGGGTCTTGTTACCCATCTGAAAGAGACGGGAATGCATGTGGAGGGGGAGGGGAGGGTTAGACGGAGTGGTGTTGTGTGGTGATGGCGGGATTCGGGAGTTAGGGTCAGCGAAACAACGCGAGGCGAGAGTGAAACAACGTGCAGTTGCACTGGTTCCCACTGGGCATCGTTCTCCGGTAGGTACCCGACGGCCGACGCCCCGACTGCCTGTGCTGGCACCTCCCGGCTCAAATGTCCCGTCACCTGTCCCTCCCAATCTGTGCGGATTCTTCACATCCCGACTCTCTCCCACCTGCCTAAAGACCTCCCAACGCGTCTCGCCTCCCACTTCCTCCCCTGACCTCTCGGCTCTCCCTACCCACCTGCAGGAAAACGTCCTCGGCTCCGACCTCCTGTCGGAAGTTGATCTCGTACTCGGGCTGCGGCCGGGGATCGTCCGTATCGTCCAGCTCGGCACCCTCGGTCACCTCGTCAGGCTCCCAGATCGACTCCGGCGCCGGACGGCCGCGCTCCTCCGCTGCCGCCGCGGGAGCCGCCGGCTGCAGTTCGGCACCCGATTTGACCACCAGACGAGCGGCCGACTTGGCGTCCGGCGCGCCTCCAGATCCTGTGGCGGAGAGGCAAAAGAGGGAGCGGCAGATCGTTTACCGCTAAATCTCATGTGAAAAATGAAGTAACTTTAATTAGCAATCAAAACAACAAATATTCAATTAACTCTAATACCGAGAGAGCCGAACTGGATCATGGATGAGCTTGGGAAATGCAGTATGCAGTGACACACACTTACGGCTCACGTAGCCGCTATCCTCTTCATCTACATCGCAGCTTCCGAGCAGCGAGGAAAGCTGGCGTATATCAAGTTGATCCATGATTGAAGCACCCGCGATGACTCTGAAAGCAAAACTAGCACATACAAATGATAAAATCGTGAGAAAAAAAATCGCAAAACGTCCTATTCCCGAAGCGCGACTCGTTTGTTTTTGTTTTGTTTACCAGCGCTTTCTGCTGCGCCACTTATGAAGTAGGTGCGTCATAATAAGCCATATGGACCCATTATGGACCGATAACGAAGTTTTGATGACGTTGCTTAATATTTAACACAATTGTTTTGCCAATTTCTCTAAAAAAGTTAAATATATTAAACAAAAAAATTCATTTATTTAATTTTATATATGAATTTAACATAAAATTATTTGCAAATTTTATTATTTTTATAGTTTTATGTAATATACTGAAAACTCGTCCTTCGTTGCCATGACAACAATGTGCAAAATAATGCCGACATTTTTGCGCTATGTGCATCATGTGCATTATGGGAGGATAGGTGGATCCGGTTGGTATTTGTCTTGTTTTGCTGTGTTTGGTTCTTTCCTTGTTTCGAAAATGCTTTTTCAAATTTCATGTCAGCTCCCATTAAAAGAAGTATGTCATCCCTATCTGGGCTCTGTGGTTTTGATGCATTTCAATTTGTGCTAAAGTCCTAAGCCAGGTTGGAATTTAACATTTTGAAGTAAATATAATTAGTTTTTTGATAGAAATCTTAATGATTTCGATTTTTATTTTTCATCTTAGCATTTTGTTTAAGTCTTTTTCACATGGAATCAATGAATGACATGTCGGAACGCTTACCTATTGTTTGCCGTTTGGTATCACAAAACCAGTCTGTGGTACCTAGTAGATTGAGATAATTGGTGGTCGTGGGGTCTTCTTGTTGTTCCAGCTCTCTCCAAGCAGTAGCTTTTTCTGGAATATTTGCCAAGTGATAAGATCTACCTGAATTGCTGGCTGAGCAGAGCAGACAATGTCACTGTTCAAGGCACGCGAGTGGTGGTCCACAGCGTGCGGCACAGACGAGACGTTTGACATTGGCTGTATGCTGGTGGCGTGCATTGGGCCAGAGAAGCAGAAGGACCAGCGCATTGTGGTTGGCAGTCATGAGGTTAGTAAGGCAATGATGCATCACCTGAGCCTTGAGTTGGTCTTCTGGTATTAGTGATAAATCTGCCATAATGTAGAAATATTCTTGCCAAATGCTCTTCATGAGAGGAGTACATTTTGATGCTTACATTCATACTTTCTTACATTCATAACTCCTTAACATGTCACTTACTTTTTTGCAGTATTTCACATTTGTCACATTTGGTGCTCTGCTCATGCATGAACAACATTCAACATTCATTCACAGCATCTGTTCAGCATACTGTCAACATCCAACTTCCATACATGTATATGAGTTACGATGCTCCATTTCGTCACGGACCGATGCCGACCTCGTCAGGGTTTCATCCGCGTGTACCAGCCCAACTACGACGCGCGCGGGGACGGTGACGACGCGGGTGCGGAGAACGGGTTCCGGCCGGACGACCTGCTGTTGGAGGTGCAGCTGGAGCATCCTGCCCTCCAGCTGATGGCAGGCAAACTGGCACAGTGAGTGGCGTATGTGGGGACTGGTCACTCATCGCTGGGCGAACATACGTTCATCGCTGTATGCGTAGTATGTGGGGACTGTCCCCACATACGCTCATCGCTGGCGTATGTGGGGACTGTTCGCTCATCGCTGGGCAGAGCGGGGGGGGGGGGGTGATCATATATTTCGTGTGTCGTGTGGACTGTGTGTTTAGATAGTCGAGCACACGTCCTTCGCCGCACCCGGTACTGACGATTCAGCTAACGTCTTCTTTGCGTGCGTGGGTCGGATATCTCTGACGTGCGATTGACTTCCGTACACTTTTTTTCTGTCGCCTTGACTACCTATTGATTATGAGGCATCGAATGGTTTTATGATGGCACTGTCGGTAACATTTACTAGCGACATGTAAAAAAAAAAATGTCCACCCCCTCCCCCTCCCATCACCGTCGTTCCCATACGCCGCCTGTTGAGGCTGACCTCTCCGCCTGTGTTCTCCGCAGCTCGTCGACAGACACGTGCCTGGCGGTGCTGATGCCGTTCCAGGTGACCGTGTTCACCATCAGCATGGCGGCGGGAGCTGTCGAACACGGAACACACTACGCCCTCAACCCGGTCTACTCACACCGACTCAAACGGTCCGCCTTCAACATGTTCTCCGGGTTCTTCGGCGGATCGAAAAATAAGGCGAGGACGAGATCTGTACCTACGTCCGATGATGGTGGATGGCGCAATGTTTTGTTTATTGGTTCCAGCGATGTTGAAATGTCGCTGGCTACTGTGGATCGATGTAATCGATTTAAGATGCATTAAAATACTCTATGTCTGATGATGAGCTGCTTTCTGAGTGTTATGTCCATTATTGTTAGAGCTGTTGGCCGTTCATAAAGTTCGAAGACTCGAATCTTGTTGATGCTACAGAAAGCAAAATAATGAATTCCACGAATATGTCGGTTAAGCTCTTGTAGGTAGGTACTGCCCGTACTCTCTTTTTTCTACCATCGAACTTCTGTAACCATATTTCTGTCTCCATCCCCAGGAACTATTCAGCATCCAGTCGCTGGACGGTACACTGTCGTTTTACGAGCAGGAGAACTACTCGTTCAGCCGGTTCCTACCCGGCTATCTGATCCCCGGCCCGATCCTCTACGTGCAGAAGACGGACTCGGTGGTAACGGGCACCTCCAGCTGGACGGTCGAGGCCTACAAGTAAGAACTGAGCGCCAGGGTGTCGAGTTTGTCATTGATAGATTTGGATGGTACTGGTCGCTGTTATGGGGGGGGGGAGAAAGATTTGAAATAACTACGCGGCAAAATTGTTATGGCGAGCTAGGGATAAAGGAAGACTGGTTGTACTAGTCATACCATGTGACGTAGACCTGAGTGTTCGCGCAAATTTTTCGATGTCATGATTTGTTATTTGATTTCACGCATTGACTTGTCCTATTTCACGCATTGACTTGTCTTATATCGTTTCATCGTAAATGGGTACAGTGACACCATCCCATACTTCCTTTCGACTTTCTTCCGTGGTTTTGCTTGCTGTGAAGTCTTAACAGTCATTTGCCGATCTCGTTCTCTCCTCCAGATACTCGTCGCTGGCACAGGGCTCCGACCCCAACGAGAAGTCGAGCGGTGACATTGGATCCGGCAAACGGGTCTACCCCGACTGGACCTACAACGTGGGAGAGGTCACACTCGATATACAACAGGTGAGAGCGCTGTGTCTGACCGATAGGTCTTTTGTCGGCTGTAAGTTGTGCCTCCCGTGAGCCGTGGTGGTATTAATTCTGTCGTGGTATTACTTCAGCTGATGTCTGCTCAATATGCTCAATATTTTGTCGGCCGCTTCATTCTTCATTCGGTCGCTGCTTGTCGCAATCCTAGCTTCCCGTGTCACTGCTAGGCGCCGTTACCGTCAGCTCCAGCTTTCCTTGTCACCGCTAGGAGTCAATACTGTCAGCTCTAAGACCGGACTCGATGCCTCCCAGACGACGAAGATTTTACGTCGTCCGGCCAATCCCGTTTGATAATCGCAGCCCAGCCCCCGCCGACAATTGACATCGAACGCCATTGGCCGGACGACGTAGAATCCTCGTCGTCCGGGAGACATTGAATCCGGCCTAACCCTCCGTGACACTGCGAGTTGTCCTACTACTATTAGCTCTCTCTTCGTGTCACTACCAGGTGACTCTGCCGTCGGGCGATGTGCGTCTGGCGGTGCTGGCCGAACACAGTCTGCTGATTCTGAAGGAGGCTGGACAGCCAGTGCTGTTCAAAAGGCTCGACTACCATCCAGCCTGTCTCACTACGTTCGTCAACGGTAAGCTGCTCGCTCGATTGTTTTGTAGCCTGTGGGTCTCGAATCAGACGCAGGTGGGTCAGTCGTATGTCTAAGCCGATTCAAGCAGCCTGAGAATTTTCAACACGACTGTTTCTCGTAAAATGTGCCGTATTTAGCAAGGGATGGGGCCATTTGTCACACTTTGCATTGCTCCTTCAAAATCGACTGCTTGAACTTTTATCCACAAGGTGTGTACCGCAACAATCTCTTTTCACCCCCTCTTTCAGACGCGGGGCGGCTCACCACGCTCGTTGCCAGTCACACGAGCGTGGGTCACGTATACGAGGGCGGCACACTGCGCTGGGCTGCCCAGCTCCCATTCATACCGGTCTGCGTGGGCCGGCTGCGTCTGCGGCAGCTCTCGGGTCTCCTGGCGCTCCTCTCTCCTGGCGGACAGCTAGTGGTGGCGTATCTGGGCACCACACCGTCTCTGTTCGTGGCGCCGCCCGTGCAGACGGCCGGAGCGCTCGACTATGAGGCGCTGGATGAGGAGCTGGCCACGCTGACGGCGGTCATACAGCGGTCGCAGAAACAGGACGGTGAGAGTGGGGAGAGTGAGAGGTGAGTGGAGCTTGCCGTGCTCTGAACGCCATCTGGATTCTGGGTAGCATTTCTTGTGGGGCTACTATAAGCGCATGAGGAATTGTTTGCTGTTTATTATAGTTACGTTTCATGATGAAACTAGGTGAACGTTTGCGTGGAGTTGATCAGCATAAACCTTGCATTTCTTCAAAAGCAGCTTCGACTGCTTCTTATATCGACGAATATCGTATTCCGTCCCCGGTCCACTACACTATGTAATGTTGGAACCAGCACGTTTTTTTCTTCTTCTTCGTTGACATCCTGTTCTTTCCTTGCAGAGAGTGGCCTGGCGGCTGCGGACGCCAGCCGAGAGGACGTCCAGCTGGTGGTACAGATTCACCCAGTACTGGACCCGTGCTCACTGCCTACAGAGGTGGACCAACAGGTACGACAGGTCAGATCCTCACAATGCAGAGTCAGATCCACGTCCTGGTCCAGCTGGACCCGTGCTCCCTGTCCACAGACTAGGTGGATCAATAGGTAATTACCACAGGTCATACCCGCTCGGTAGTCAGATTCACCCGATCCTGGACCCCTGCTCGTTACCCACAGAGGTGGAACAACAGGTAGGTATGTACCAAAGGTTAGATCCACCCGGAGCTGGACCCCTGTCCACTGCCCACCGAGGTGGACTAACGGGTCGAGGTAGGGATTCGTTTGATGCTAGGAAGTTTGGTATGTCGCTGTCATCCTCATAAAAATCGATACTCTATCTCATCACGGTGTTTGTTTGTCTTTGCTTCCCTTTTATTCAGAACAAGGGTGGATGGCAATTACACTTTTACAGAATATTCAACCAGCCGTGCATATTCATTTTCCTTTTTTATCGACTTACTTGCCTATTTTTATCGGTTTCATATACCTGTTACACAGTCTGGTGCTGCACCATGAGTCTCATCACAATGCTACCTTTCTCTCCCCGCCAGGTGCCGTGTGCCAGTATCCGCGCTCTGATCACCCCGTTAGCGCCCGTGCAGTCGGTGGTCCTCAGTTTTGACGTGGTCAGTCCACTGGTGGTCGTCAAACCCTCGGCGGGCATCGAGTCGCTCAGTGAGTGCTACTGGCGCTGAGAGGCGTTTCGCACGTTTAATGCCGTGATGGTTTAAGCATTCCACAAGCATTTTATTTTGCTGAGTTCAGAGATGTGGGTTTATTCCATGATATGATCCATTTAGTATACATCAATCTGATCGTAACTTCTTTGTGTTTTTTATGGCGGAATGTTCTGCATTCCATTTTTCTTGAAAGCATTTCTGGAACCATGCACGTCCCTACCATGCCAGCTAGTCAATGACCATCCCTGGGTTCTCTCCTTTCCCCTCCGCAGCCACCACCACGGACATTGAGGCAGTAGTATACCTGGCGCAGCCGCACGCCGTTCCCTCGCTGGAGCTGGAGGCAGTCCTCAGCTATCTGACGTCTTCCGGCGCTCCGCGGGTGCTGCGCGCCGTCACCCGGCTGCCGCTGGCTCTGGTGGCCCGGCCGGCCGACCCGGTGAAGGATGCTGATCATAGGGTCACCGTGTGCACCACGCGGCCGTCCGTCAACCTGGCGCAGCTTTTCAGCGGTTAGTGTCGGTTGGTCAGCACCTGGCATGTTTGTTCACAATGGTAAAAGGTCATAGCTGCCTGTGTTGTGCGAGGAATTGCTAGGCCATTTGATTGGAATGCACTGTGTGTGAGGGAGGGGCTTGTCAAGAATGGGCTTTGATGAGATCGTTGTAGAGCCGTGGGATTATGCAAGCCTGAGCTGGTCCCCTAAACTGTCTGCTTTTTGCTGTTCTGTTGTCCAGTATTCTTCCTCTTTCCGCTATTTTCACGCTCTCCTCTGACCCCTCCGCACGGCAGACCTGAAGCTTGACGCTGGCATGTCCAGCGCGGCCGGCATTGAGTACTACACCGGCTGTACGGTGACCATCCTGGCCTCCAAGACGTCTCAGCGGTACCGTCTACAGTCGGACGATTTCCACGCCCTGTGGCTGGTCACTGAGGAGCTCACCAGACGCATCGGTCAGTGGATTAGGGGAGGCCGGAGAGGGAACGTTTGTGGTAAAGATTTATCGGGAAGTCCAAGCGCTGCTTGTGAACAGCTGTACTGTGGATGAGTGATAAAAGGCTGATGTTGTGGATATTGAGCAGATGATTTCTTAGTTTACATAGCTCCTTTGTTTATCCGCATACGGACCGAATAAACTTGCCACGCTGCATGCAACCCTAACAAACTGAGGTGTGTAGATGTTAGGGCCAAGTAAAGCTGCATATACCACGACACGGTGTATTGTGCTTCCAGCGACCAAAGACCAAGCACGGACACGGCGACCCGCCGACTGACCCAGTCCGGTCACGGTCGCGCCCTTATATAACCACGGCACAGAGCGCATGCGCGGTGACCGCGCGGCGGTCAGGCGGCTCGCCCGTCGCCGGCCGGCCGGCCGAGCCGCCGGCCCGGCCCGCGCCTCGGCCCCGCACGACCGGTCCGCGGTCACAATATCCCAACACTCCTCCCCCCATAAAAGAAACGTTTCCACTTGGTCAAGTAACAAAGAAACGCGACACACTACGCGATCGGAAATACAAACTGATTCAGACACTGGTGATGCACATCGAGAGCATCCGAGACCTAGGATTGAAAACGATCTGGGGGGAGCGACACTCTGCCAGACCTGGTCACATACGCGCCCCGCACAGATGTACCCCCATTCCCCACCTGATCTCGGGCCCGCCGGCAGAGGTAGTACAACGCCAGTGGATCCGGTCCAGTCTCCTCGGACCCCGTCTGCTTCCTGGGACGCGTTTCTGTGGCTGTGTCCGATGCGTCGTCCCTCCGGGTGCTCCCAGACGTTTCCTGTTTGTGGGACTCCCGTTCCACAGCTGGCTTTAGCTGGTTGAAGTGCAGAGCCTTTTCCTTGCCCTTGTCGTCACGGACGAGGTACGTTACTCCTCTCTCTCCTCCGAGGCGGCCGATGATGGTGCCCGGGCCTTTGTAGTACAATCCCAGTTTCGGCTTCCCGCCGACCGAGACCCTATTATCCCGAATCCATACCCGGTCACCAGCCTCGAACCCTTTTCCGCTCGCGCGCTGGTTGAATCGGGTCGCAGCCTCCGTAGCACTGGCCCGGGTTTTCCTGATAGTCGTCTGATAAGCCTCTGAAATGGCCTTTAGACGGTCTTCAAGGTAGCACCGGATATTTACCGCCCGATCCGGAGGGTTGATGACCGCATCGAGTGGCGTTTTCGGGTGGAATCCGTGCAGCAGAAAGAACGGGGAATATCCGGTGACGCTGTGCACAGAGGTGTTGTAGGCCATGCAGTACGCCTTGATGTCAGCGTCCCAGTTCGCTCCTTGAGGGTCAACGTATTTGGCGACCATGTCCTTGAGTGTTCTCATAAAACGCTCTACCATACCATCACTCTCAGGGTGATAGGGCGTTGTACGCGTTTTCTGGATGCCCAGTCGCTTGCACATGCACTGGAACAATGCAGACTCAAATTGGCCTCCTTGGTCCGAGTGAATCCTGTCTGGCACCCCCATGTCGTAAACCCAATCCAACAGCACCGTGGTTACGGTTTCGGCATCCTGCCGTCTGACTGGGTACACTCGGACGTATTTAGAAAAATAGTCCATGATGACTACTGCATATCGGTTGCCATTCTCCGACACCGGCATCTCAGTGATGTCAATCGCAATTCTGCGGAATGGTTGACTCGTGACCTCCGTCACCAGAGGAGCCCGTTTCTTCGGTGCAGGGCGATGGCGCCGTTGGCAAAGGTCACATGTGCTGCAGTACCGACGGATGTCCGCGAACATGCCGGGCCAGAGGAAGCGCTGTCGCACTCTTTCCGTTGTTCGACTCCGTCCCAAGTGTGCGGACGTCGGATGGTCATGGGCGAGCGTCATGATCCTTGATCGCATCGAATCGGGGACCAGGGCCCGGAAGCCCCACTTCGTCCTCATGCCGAGAACGCCCTCTCGCACTTCGAGCTGCGTCCAGCTCCCACGCAGTAGCTCCCACTCGGCGAGAGGGTGATCGGGCGGTGGTTCCCGACTGCCCAGACAGGCGTTCCGCATGACGCTGAGGACCTCGTCCTCTTGTTGCGCCGTCTGCAACTCCGATTGTCCTGGTGCTTCAGTGATTAGGCGTCCCGCCTGGTCACCCTTCGCACTAGGTGGCGCAGTAGGCAGTGCGCAGACTTGGTCAAGTTCTGCTGCGCCTCGAGTCTTCCCCACACATTCCTCCTCTCCACCAGAAGCAGTTTCTTGGGCTCTTGTAGCTGCGGTATGCACGGGTGCTTGACCGGCTTCGGCGGGATAAGACTTGCTGCGCTTGCCCGTCCAGATATTGCCGTTGACTGGTCGCTGCCGGGACATCGCATCGGCATTGCCGTGATCACGGCCCGGCCGGACAACCACCCGGAACTGGTAAGAGCTCAGCTCGATGGCCCACCGGCCACGTCTTCCTGTCCCGTCACGTTCCACATTGATGGACTCCGGTACACCCGTGAGTGGTTTGTGATCGGTCACGACTTCGAATTCTGCTCCAACTGTGTACTGATTGAATCGCCGAATGGCGTGAACGATGGCCCAGAGTTCTTTATCATATGTTGGCCATCTGCGCTGTTGCTTTGTCAGCACCTTACTGTCGTAGGCGATGACTCTCTCCGTGTCACCCACCCGCTCCGCGAGCACTGAACCGACTGCAGAGTCGGATGCATCCGTGTACAAGACGAATGTACCACGGAACGTAGGGAGGGCTAACACTGGAGGTGCAGTCAGCGCCTGCTTCAGACTCTCAAAAGCTGCTTCAGCTTCCGGCGTCCACGTCAGGCGGTCACCCACCACCTTGGCTTCCCTCAGCGGCTTCGTGAGATCCATGTATTGTGGGACAAAACGGCTGTAATATCCGCACAATCCGAGGAAGCTCTTCATGCCATCTTCCGTCTTCGGTGGAGTCCAGTCGAGTATCTTCTGGATGTTATGTGGGTCCGGTAGGAGTCCCTCCTTTGCGACCCGGTGACCGAGGAACGTAACTTCGCGCTTTGCGAGGCGGCACTTTTCTGGTTTGAGCTTCAGCTTCGCCGACCTCACTCGCTTGAAGACATCACGGAGCGTTGCGATGTGCTCGTCCTCGGATCTGCTTGATATGATGATGTCATCAAGGTAGACTAAACAGCGTTTCGAGTCCAGACCCGCAAGCACCAGTTCCATGAGTCGCTGGAATGTGGCTCCAGCATTTTTTAGACCCATGGCCATCACCCTGAACTGATGGAGTCCTTTGCCCGTGGAGAAGGCCGTCTTTTCTCGGTCCTCTGTGGCCAGCGGGACCTGCCAGTAACCGGTCGCCATGTCGAGCGTCGTGTACCACGTTGCCCCCGCTAGGGTATCCAACGCCTCGTCGACCCTCGGCAGAGGATGCGCACATCCGCGAGTTCGGCTGTTGATCGCGCGGAGATCGACGCAGAAGCGGAAACTTCCATCTTTCTTTCTGGCCAGGACGACTGGGGAGCACCACGGACTTGTACTCTCTTCAATTATTCCATCTTTCATCATCTGCGTCTTCTGCATCTCGACTTGCTCGCGGAGTTTAACTGGTACCCGCCGTGGTCTCTGCTTCACGGGAGCCTCCTCCCCTGTGTCGATGTGGTGCTCGAGCAAATCTGTCTTGCCGATATCACCCGCATACTGACTGAAGATGTCTGCATATTCGCTGAGAATGGTTCTGAGCTTCTCCTTTCCTTCCGCTGAGAAGTCAGATCCGTCCACATCAAGTACTTCTGTCACCGTCGTATTCTGACGCCTTTCTGTTCTGCAGCTCACATCATCAATGTCATCATCATCACTGTCCCCAACGCCTCCGTCTGCAGCCAGGCACAACTTGTACTCGCAGTCCTTCTCGTTTGTGGCATCATAAAATGTCCCTAGGTCACTGCCTCTGAGAACACGGACTTCTTCAGACCCAACATTTGTCAACATGATCGAGACGCACCCGTCGTCGTCTGCAACGACCAGAGCCCTTGGAGTCAGGAGTCCCTCCCGCTCCGCTACGGTTGATGGCTCGAATATCCCGGCTGCACCCATTTCATCACTCTGCACGCCGTCCACTCTCTCCAGCTTACCAGGTACCACGCACTCTGACCGTGCTGGAATGACGACGTTCGACAGTAATCGCACTCGCGCACGTCTTGGTCGAACCTGCTCCCGGCTCGGCAGGGGAACGCTCATGGTTCCAATCTTGAATGAGCCAGCGTCGTCGTCGATGACCGTGCGATGCATGCACGTGAAGTCGCGACCTAGTATCACGTCGTACACGAGGTCGTCTGCCACGGTCACTACCGGGCATCGGAAGCTGACTCCATCAATGCATAATGAGAGGTTTTCCAACTCACCAACTACCTGGAGGGAGGTACCTCCCGCTCCGATAGCATTGCGCGCGCTCGGGCTGAGCCGGATTGCTCTGAGTGCTGGGTTCCCCTCATAAAATCCTTTTCGCATCATGGTGAAGTCGGCACCAGTGTCCACCAGCGCCCATGTCGGAGCGCCGTGAATGACGACCCGAACGGCCGCCGCCGTGAGTGGGGACGCTTTAGAGAGGACTGGGACCTGTCCCACGGCTCCAGTCCGGTTCAGTTTTCCTGATGCGCACCGGCGCCCCGCCGGGGATCAGCAGCTCTTGTCTCGGAGTGGCCTCCGCCGGAGTGGCCTCCGCCAGTGCTGCCACCCTGGAAGTATTGGCACCCCGCCATCCAGTGGCCCTGCTGCCCACAACATAAGCAGAGCGGCAGCGCGCGCCCGTCCCTTGTCGACGGCAATGAAATGGGGCAGTGTCGCTTGAGGTGACCCAATTCTCCACAGCCGAAGCATCTGACGCTAGGTGAACCACGGCTACGCTCGGGGCAGTCTCGCTGAAAATGACCCGGCTGCTCGCAGCGGTAGCACCGGGGAAGTCGGCGAGACTTACTCGCATCAGTTGTCGTCTTCGGCGCCATTGTGATGGCCGATATCGACTCGTGTAGCCCGCGAATGTGATCTTCGATGGCTGTGAGCCGGTTGTTGTCCGTCACAGTCTTTTCTGCTTGACCCACGGTGGCTTCACCCCCGACCGGGCGGACCGCCCCGATGACGTCGATCTCATGATTTCGCACTGCCTTGATCGTCTTCCTCGTCTCCTCGAATTCTTTACTAACGCGTACTGCGTCAGTCAGCGTGGATACGTTTTGGCTGATTAACCTCTCTTGCAATTGCGTGTCACGGAGGCCACAGATGAATCGGCCGCACTGGAATCCCTCCATAGCGCTGTGTTCGCTGGGTAGAGCCGGCTGGGCTAGCCCACTCAGCTCTCTGATCCTGGCTGAGAAGTCTTCAACAGACTCCGAAGGTGACTGGCAAACTCGGTTGAGTTCGGCATGAGCCTGCAACGTGCTTATTTGCCGACCGAACCGACTTTTCAGTGCTTCAACCACCCTGCCGTAGTCCTTCCGTGACTCTTCGGTGAGTGACGCGAATGTGTCCAGTGCGACTCCGTCCAAAAGACCCACCATAGCCGCCAGCCGGTCCCCGGCTTTCATGCTCGCCGTCTGAGCTTCGAATCGGCGGAACCATTTCTGCCACACTTCCCCCGACTCTCCACTAAATTTCGAGGCTCTTGAAAGGAAAATGGTAGATAAATCCATAGTTTGTTATACTGAACTCTACTGGAGAGAACCTCTCATCACCCAAAGTCTCTACTCACCGGCTCCGTCCACTTTTTCCACCGTGAGCTTGCGCAGGCCGTCACAGAACTCTCACAGCAATCTTCTTTCTTAAAAACTCATATGCAGCCCATTTACGTTATTGGTCCTACCGACCGCGCCAAAATATGTTAGGGCCAAGTAAAGCTGCATATACCACGACACGGTGTATTGTGCTTCCAGCGACCAAAGACCAAGCACGGACACGGCGACCCGCCGACTGACCCAGTCCGGTCACGGTCGCGCCCTTATATAACCACGGCACAGAGCGCATGCGCGGTGACCGCGCGGCGGTCAGGCGGCTCGCCCGTCGCCGGCCGGCCGGCCGAGCCGCCGGCCCGGCCCGCGCCTCGGCCCCGCACGACCGGTCCGCGGTCACAATATCCCAACATAGACACGGGCTATATACGATGTTCGATTGTCGGTCGGTTGTCGATATTTGATGGGAAGCTCGCCCTTCTCGCACAAAGCTCCACCGTTTCACCCCTGTCCGTCTAGGTAGTCGATGTCTCACCAACCCGAATCTCCCCCTGACCCTTTTCCCCCTCTTCTGACTTTCGTGTCCCCCTCCACAGGTGCCATGTACGGCGAGACGGCCGACGAGCCGATCTGCTCGTTCGTCTCCTCCCTCCCCCTCCAGGACGTGTTCTCCGAGGTGGACGCCCACCTGATGTGGCGGCAGCGGCGGGAGCAGCAACTTCAGCAGCTGGAGCAGCGCGCCAGCCAGTTCCGGGCCATCCAGCGCCGCCTGCTCACCAAGTACAAGGACATGACGCCCTCGCCGCTGACCAACATGGACCAGCTGCTGGAGGAGACGTACCGCCGTCTGATGGCGCAGGCTGACTCCCTCTCGGAGGAGGACCGACGTCTGGAGCGGTCGGCCGCGCAGCTTTCCTGCGCGCTGAGACTACTCGCTCTCCTAGCCCGGCTCAGTCAGACTCTGACCCCGGAGGAGGCCGACCTACTCACGGCGGCTCTCTGCTGGCGGCGTGTGCCCTCCCAGGAACAGGGCTGGCACGAGACGGCCGACTGCGCGGCCGGGTACCTCCACCGGGCCCTGCAGCAGCAGACGGGACGGGTGGCGGTCAGCGGCGCGCCGCTCGCCATGCCAGATGATACGACCAAGCTGAAGCGGCACCTGGCGCTTCTGCTGGAGAAGGTGCTGAAGGCCGGAGCCAGGATCGGGGACAGCGTCAACAGGACTGATGCGCCCGGTGAGTAGGGATGGGGGCCAGAAGAGACACGTTTTAGTGCTTGCTATGGTATCGGCGGGCCGCTAGGGTCATGTGACAACCATTGGGGCATTTATATACGCATCGGTCAGTTTGGCCGGTCAGTCTGGCCCCACAACGCCTTTGATTGTGACCACCCCTCTCCACCCTCAGCGCCGGCCACCGGTCCGCCCGTAATGTGCCTAATGTGACGTGATCGTGTGCTGATATCCTTAGCGCGTTTGCTTTCCTGTAGTGGCTAGGTTTCTCTGGTCACTGATGTGTCATATTGCCACTTCAGCTGCTAATGTGTTGTGTTGTTACCGTCCCTTGTTAAACATGTGTAACGGACGGTCACTCGCAATTCCGGCCTTATCAGAGAATGTCTTTGTTTATGAGCCGTAGAGACAACCGCCCACCCCCTCGTCCCCTCTGACAGGACCTGACCTGACCTGACCCGAGCTCGAACTGACCTGACCTGTGCCCACAGCCGACGAGCCGGTTGCAGACGAGGACGAGCGTCCACCCTCTGTACACCCCATCAGTCAGATGTTCACTCAGCGGCTGGGCTCGGCCCGGCCCCGCAGCGGCACCCGGCGGCCGGTCAGCGGAGCGTCGTCCGCGCAGAGGCTTCATGGTGAGAAATGGCGGGAGGGTCATGTAGAGGCTATACGGTGAGAGATAGTGGGAGGGTCGAGTAGAGGCTACACGGCGAGAGATGGTGGGAGGGTCGTGTGGAGGCTTCAGTGTGAGTGGAAACGGTTTATATTAAGATGGGATAAAGAGTGAGGGCTTATGATGAATGTGTGGATTATTCGATGTCTCGCTGCATATGACATATTTCGTATTTATTTGTCGAACTTTTTATCAGTGTTGTGTTCGTATCAGCTCACTGAGTTGTGAACTCTGTTTCGTCACATAATCAACGTGAAATGCTATTTAGGATGCAGTGTTGTCCCCGCTTGCCGTCTCACCCCGCCATGTGAGTTTGACCTACCTCCTCTCCACCCTCAGCGCCGGCCACCGGTCCTCCCGTGCCCTCCGGTCGCGGGCCGCCTCCAACAGTAGCCGTGGAGCCTCCGACACCTCAGCTGGACCGGTCGCGGCCCACCTCGGCAGACTCCGTGGATGCCGAGTCGCGTGGCGCCACCGCCCCGGAGCCGCTCGTGCCGGGGACTCAGCCGGAGACGGCGGCCGAACAGCGGGACAAGGCCGACGGCGCCGGCGGAGGTACGGACATGACGGACTTCAGATGTGTTCGAATGACATTCACGACCATTCAGGCATTTCGGATGTACTCAAATAGTATTCACGGCCATTTGGGCTTTGTATTCTTTCATATCATCAAGATTGAAAGAAGACCTATTTGTTACCTAATAAAACTTTTGAATGAAAGTAAGAGATCGCTGAAGGCTGCTTGCTCGCGTAGGATTAGAATAAGTTCGCCTACAGGATTTAATTTCCGTCGCAGGCGACTGGTAGACAACTGAGTCTATAGGAGCTGATTCCTCTCACTATGCCCCCAGCTGCTGTGGGCCTAAACGTCTTGACCCCAGACCCCCTGTTGACCACCGATCTGTCTCTCCCCAGACGTTCAACATCTTCACCTGCACGGTCTCACCGGTGCCGGCATCGAGGTACCGCGCGACAACCTGCTGGACGAACCGGAAGAGGACTTCTGGTGAGGCATTGACGTCACAGGGTGACGCAGTGACGTGGTGACGTGACGTCAGGGTGGTGCTGGGGCGTTAGGTGATGTCTGAAGACTAGGTGTAGATGTTACTTGGGAGTTGGGATCCCAATACTGAACTCGGCGATAGGCTCGGTTGGAAGAAATGATAGGATGAGAGGGACGACTCAACACAAGGTAGTGTCCTTATACATCGATGACGTCACTATGTATCGATGGCGTCACATATCGGTGATGTCACCTGTAGCTAACGTCACTGTATAAGACGTCACAGTGTATCTCTAATGTCAGGTAATGTTGCTAGCACAGTGGCACTGCCTTGACTGCCGTCCTCTACTCGTACGGCCTGTGATCTATCCCGGACCAGCGACACCTACCGATTAGAGCCTGGTTTGAAGCTCGCACACGTTAGTAACGTCTCACACCACATCAGCCGTCAGTGATGGTAGTGACATCACTGTATCTCAACTGACGTGATATAAATCAGCTGGATGGGACTAGGGGTACGTGGTATGACGGGTGTGGGTGAGACTGTGGGTTTGTCTGTGGACAGAGGTGTGCTGCCCTTGGGACTGGCTAGCTTTGTCAGAGGGCGCTAGGCTCCCAAAGGGCGGCCCTCCCTAGACCGGGTAGCAGAATGTCAGAAGACGGTGTAGTCACGCATGGTCTAGGATCTCCCTTGGTGGATTGTGTTTCGGGCGGAATCCTACACCCGCCGTGTGATACTATCACAGTCTCTGTTAGTAGTCTAGTCTCTGTTATTATTTGAATCTTTGGGATGCAATGATCAAAAAGCTTATAAGGTAGTCTTCAAAGGTCCCAGGACTTCTAAAAAAGTAATGTGGAATTGTTTTTAATCCTGTTGAAATGGAACTTCCGTAGCTTCAGTGTTAAAGAATATCTGGCTGATGTCGAATTCCCACTAAATTTCCTAACCGGTCGAGATATGTGATATTTTACAGTAATGCCATTTGGGTATCCATCGTGTGAGCGTCTTTACCATCCCGGTTGTTGTGCTGAAGGCGTAATGCTCACAATAACTAGTCATATAAACACCAATTAAGC